CCCCTCACGCACTCTTCCCCCACCTTCTTTCTATCCTCCCTTGTGCAGATGTAATGATGTCTCTTTAATTTTTTTATACCTGGATTTTTTCTTGCTAAGCTGCTTTTAATCACTTGATTATTTCAGACATATTTTTAAAGCTTCCCACACAACGGCCTTCGACTGCCTTGCAAACACCCTTTTTAAAAATTTATACCCTTTGAGTTAACACACAGCACATGGTCAAATTCATCTCCCTTCTAAGCTGCAAATATGTTCTCTTCCCTTATAAATGCAAAGCTGAAGGACTATGTCGTCTCGAGCTTGCATTAAAAGACTTCATTTGAAGAGCATTTTCAAAGCAAAGTGCCCGGCCCATTCTGACTGCAAGTTTTGCTCTTTCTTCCCCATTCCCTGCATTTAAGGGGGTCGATGCCTGCACAGGTCTCCCTGGGACCCACCCTCTCAACAGGCTGCCCAGCTTTGGCAGGTTTTGCCTCTGCCAACGGGGCTTTGGGTCTCAGCTCCACTCCACGGGGCAGTTTTCAGTCCCACTCAGCAGACACGTCTTGGGATGGAGCACACGTGATTAGGAGACCATTTTGGATCCTGGACCTGGGCTCCCTTTCAGGGACTCACGTCCTGATCAGAAGTGTGCAGTTCAGACCCCCTACCTCCCCATTGTCTAGAAATGGCAGGTGACTATACAGGAACGGAAACAGCACTGTATCTGGCACAATGTCAACCCCATTCCCCTAGTAACAGGAAAGATACAAGGAGTCCAATGGGCAGATTTCGCAGCCTGCCGCCAGCCCCACTGCGCAGCAACCTCCCCCAACAAACACGTGGCCCAAGATGCCCTAAATGACACTGTTTTTGTGCTGCATCTGCCGGCTGATGGCCTGCAGACAGCACTATCTATTTTAGTGACTTGCCCTTTCGCTGCTTCCAGCTTGCCAACCAGCTCCCCAAAGTATAAACTTCTCAACATGACTGCTGCTCCATGGGCCTATTTCAAAGAGGCAACCAGGCCAGGTCAAATCCTTGTAGTAACAAGGTAAAAATTATTGTTCTCCACTAAGATGCTATGCCTCTTCGTGTCACCAACATGGAGTGACAAACAAGACAACTGGTCTATTTCTATGAGTCAGACTTGCAAGCTGCTGTTGCTGCCCAAGCCTGTCATGGAAAGGATTGTCCCTTGCTGGGGAGTTTTGCAGGGATGACAGCAAGCCTCGTACCCTGCTGTTTGGCGGCTGAGCACCCAGTCCCACCAGACACCTGCAAGGGTGCTGTCAGTGGGTGTGATGCTGTCACACAGGGCCTGGGAAGGCTGACACTTGCCACACAGATGCATGCTTAATTTATGACAGGACCACTTCAATTGGATTGTAGATACAGCCTGAATGGCAGGCTATATTTGCATACCTTATATTTATAAGTGGCAGATAAAATACTCCTCTGAGGTAGGAACCACAGGCATGTCTGTTAATAAATCACTAACTGAGGAGAGAAAAACCAGAAAGAGTTTTAAGCCTCATTTGTAAAAGCCCAGCTGCAAGGGAGATGACCGGCAACACTCAGGCAGGAGGAGGTCCTGGTCTCCACGCTGTGCGAGGGCCGGGCACTGCCCCCACCCTACATCTTCCAGCTGTTACGGGAAGGATGCATTTGGATGGAAGCCCCCAAGATGTAGAAAGTGTCTCCCAATGGACCATTGGCACACAGTGGACAAAGTCCTGCAAATGCAGGTGACACCTGCTGGCCCAACCCCACTTGATGGTCCTGCGTGACTTTAGAAAGATGGGGCAGAAGGACCAGGCTCCTGTGGCTTAGGGAGTCCCTCATGGCCCTGTACCAAGGACATGGTGACTGGAACACTGGTTTTTGCACCATAGGAAAGCCTGCTGCAGGCTGACCTGTGATCTCCATCCCTCAACTTGAGGCCGGGGGTAGTGTGGCCTTGGGGATTTCGGTCCAAGTATCCATCTTATAACATGTGGTCCCTTGCCCATCCCTAAGTCCAGACATGCCTCTGACCTTCTGATGGGGGTGGGAGGTGGCAACAGGCTGAGCAATGAGAAGCCCCTCCCCACATAATGTCCCCTGTCCTCAAGGATGTGTCTCCATGGCCCTGGGTGTCCCGGAGACTTGAAGTGGAGTGGCTGACCTCAGTGCCCACCCTCACAAGAGTGCCAGCCTTTCTTAGGCTTTCTCTCTGTCATTCTAGACTCACCCAGATAAACTCTTTGGGTTGAATTGGACAAGAAGAAGTACTGGCAAAATGATAGCCAGGCTACAAAGCATTGAGAGCCCTGGAGAGTCCAGTCCCAGCCCCTGGGGAAGAGTATTTATCTGCTTCTCATGTGGACACTCTCATCTGTTAAATAAGATGTTCTCTGATCAAAATTTATAGAGTTGGCCCAAGAATGTAATCAACTCAAGAGAGTTATCAGGGACAAGGCCAATCCAAACAGCTTTAGAAAGCCCAGGTTATGACCGCTCCTGGTCACTCATGTAGACGTGGATTCTTACAACGGGTTTCTAGAGTGGGCTGGTCCACCCATCACGACCTTTCTCAAGGTAGGCATTCCAGTCCTGACTGTGCGAAGCAGAGAAACATGTGGCAAACCCCAGTCTTCCTGGACCCGTTGACAACCACACAGTACCGAGTCACACAGACACTTTCTCTAGACAGTCGCACCCATGAGGACAGCCCCACGAAGAGTGAACAGTGGCCGTGCTGCAGTAACTAGTAGGAAGACAGGTAGCTTCGTGGCTTGGTTTTCTTTCATGGTTTTACACAAATAGCTCATACTGGGAGCTGGTGAAGTCCCCTAACCAAGCCTGTTATCAGAAGGACAAATCTTTAGTGGCCTCAGTACCTCTCTCTCTTACATAGATGGGGCATGGAGCTGTGCTACTGAGCACAAACAATGTGCCTAGCTCACCTGGGCTGTAAGCATTGGGATTCCTTCATAGTTATGGTCTCCTGGAATTAGAAAGCAGAGCCAACAAGTCCCCAGCAGTCCCCAGAGTCCTGATGGAGAGCTTCCTGTTCCTAGGACAAGCCCAAGTTCACTACCATGCTCTACATCGTTCTCTCCTGGGGCAGGCTGGGGTGAGAGGGTTGCTCTTCAACAAAGTTTAAACACTTGCCTCTTAAACTATACACTTCCTTTGTCAAATCCTAGGTCCTCCAGGTCATGCCAATGCATGAGACCCTCTTCCTGGTCCAGCCCCCTGTATGGAGAGGGCCGGCCCAGCCCCGTGTGGACAGGCCCTAGTATGGGGATGCCAGACACTGGAGGTGCTGAAAGACACGCTGTGCCGGCCGGTGGCCTCCAAAGAGCAGCTAAGCCTCGGAACAGAGAGCTGTGCTGTGAAATGTCCAGGACGGCAAGGAAATGCTGCACCTGCGGGGAGTTGTCTAATAAATGTTTAAGGAAAGCAAGCTCTGGGCTCGGGTCCCTTTCCCTAAAATGGGGGGTTTTAGGTGCATGTTTGAACTGACTTCTTTCTTCTCGGCAGGTGGTGCGTGGCCCATTCCCACTGAGTCAGCCCCGGGAGCCACGAGGGAGCAGCAGGCTGTGGGGCGGCAGTACCAGCAGAAGTTCCCAGGACAGCCAAGCCCAGTCCTCCAAGTCCTCCAGGGGGACAGGGACACCTGGCTGTGGTGATGAGCCTGGGGGGGCCCATACCTTCAGCCTCTCAAACCACAGCAGCCACATTCACACACACAAGCCATCTTGCTGCTTTGATCCATGGTTAGTATGTTCTGAAAACTCAGTTTCTCTTCTTGAGTCTCAATAAAATACCATGTTGAAGCTGGGACAACGATCTAGAATTTAGAATCAATAGAGTAGTAATGTTAATAATAGCAATAGCTATATGCAGTCAGGCTTTTGTCATTTCATACTGGCAGAAAGCCGAAAAGCCAGACGCAAGGCAGCTTGGAGCCATCATCATCCCCAGGGCCGTGACGGTGACCCCCAGATTCAACACCCAAAATCCACTGGGCCAATCTCCATGGACTCTGGACTCCAGCAAAACTGGCAGTGCGTCCTTTGCATCTCTTGTCTTATTTATAGCAACAAAGCATTTCTTTATTGAGAAAACCAACTGAGAAGTATTGCTGAGGGCAGAAAATTTACGTTGAGAACCCTGGATTACCCATCTCTGGACCCCAATGCCAAGCATGGTGTCCCAACCCAAGCAGGGACTCGGAAGGGAAAAGGTGGTTGATTTTCTTCTCCCACCATAGCCTGTATATGTAGATGTCCCTGTTCTTTCATTCTCTTGGCTTTAAATGCTTTCTACACACTGGAAAGCTACACACACAGCTTCTAAACCTACTCCTGCAGCCCAGACTCACAACTGCCTTGGACAGTGCACACCTGAGCAGGTACAGGAAACACAGCCTGGCCCATCCTCACCCACACCTGTTCCTACCAGAGTGACCCCAGTCAGCCGCCACCATTGATCCTGTGCTTCCAGCCTGGACTCTGCAGCCTGGGACGTTCGGACGCTTCCCTCACCCCCCTCGGGTCCACCCACCGCAAGGCCTGCAAGGTCTCACACCCGCCGCCCGCTCTCCATCTCCTGGGAGCCCAGCCTGGCCCAAGGCCCAGCATCTCCCACCCAGACCACGACACAGCCCTGACGGAGCTCTCCCCTTTCCCTCAGGTTAACCTCCGCTTCAATCTCCACCGATCTTATAGTAATGTTGCCAGACTTAGCAAAAACAAACAAAAAAAAGATGCTCTTAAATTTGAAAAATGGTTTTCAGTATAAGTATGTCTCAAGTACATAGGAGCCAGCAATTCCACTTATAGGTATATACCCAAGAAAAAAGCATTCAAACAACAGCTTGCATATGAATGTTTATGGTAGCTGTATTCATAAGAGCCAAAAGGTGGAAACAACCCGCATGTTCATCAACAGATGAATGGTTAAACAAAGGTGTTATACCCACACAATAGAATATTACAACAAATGAAAATACTGATACATACCCTATAACATGGGTAACTCTTGAAAATATCGTGCGAACTGAAAGAGGTCAGTTGCAAAGACCACAGGTTATAAGGCTCCACTCACGTGAATGCCCAGAATAGGGAAATCTGTAGAGAGAAGAGACTAGTGGGTGCTTGGGGCCAGGAGAGTGATAGGGGAAAGGGCTGGTGATAGCTAAAGGGTGGGGACTTGCTTTCGTTTTTAAAAATGAGGATGTTGTGAAACTGACTGCAGTAATGGTTGTATGCATATCTGTAAATACACTAAAAACCTTTGAATTGTACCCTTTAAATGGGTGAATTATATGGTAAATGAATTATATCTCAATAAAAGTATTAGGAAAAAAGTATGTTCATGCAATGTGGGATCTACTTACACTAAAAATCCATTTCCTCTTTCTCAGAAATTCTAATTGAACTCAGCATCGTGTATATTAGGTGGCAACCATAATTACAACAGAAATTGGATCATGCCACGTTCCTGCTCAGATTCCTACAACACCCTGCCTTTGAAATTTATAAACAAAATGAAACAAAACTTCTTCACCACCTCCAGCGTCAGGAAGGGTCTGGCCCTGGCCTCCCGTCCTGCCCGTCCCGTGCCAGCAGCCCCCACGAGACGAGCCCTTCGCCAGCCCCAGCTCTGTCCTGCCTCCCTGCCCCCTCCACAAGGAACTGGGGGAACTTCTTCAGACCCCAAGTAAGTTGTAGTCTGAATATTTCTGGTCAACAAGGTGCTTAAGGTGGTTTAAAAAGAAAACAAATAGAACTTGAAGGGGAAATTTTCTAGCCTGGAAAAAAACCTGAAATAATCATTATTTCTAATAGTTTTGTTTCCCTAACATAGTCTCATGTCAGGTATCTTTCAAATGGATTCAACCCCTTTTTTGGAGGGGTGCACAGACTCCGAGTGGTCACTGCTGACCCTTTACTGAGGGCAGGTCGCGCTTCCAGCCCCACTGGACCTTGTGGTCATCAGTCTCCACTAGGGGCAACCTCATGAGTGTCTCCCGGGCACCCCCCGTTGCGGTTGCTCCACTGATCTTGCCAGGACTCTCCTGTGGGGCCTGCAGCACCGTGAGTGCAGAGCCGCGCCGGCGTGGCCACGACACCCAGTGCCAGCTCCCCACCACACCTTGCACAACGACCGGCTCACACATCTGCACTCTTGGTGCGGGGCCCAGCATGGCGCAGGGCTCTATGAGCACCTACCGTCAGAAGGGGAAGGAGGTTGAGCCGCATTTTTTGAACAAACACTCTTGGAAAATAGAGGGAATACTGAGGCAGTTCTTGTCGCAGACTCCGAGAAGCAGCATCAAGGAACCTCATCAAGAGCTGGAGGCTGCGCCATGGGAGGTTTCCTAGACCTGCGCCTGGCGACCAAGTCTCGCAAATCTCCCTCATCAACACCACAAGCGCCAAGACAAAGGGTCTGTGCCTCCCCCACGTCTCCAGGGCCTTGCCCAGCTTGGCCAGGGCAGACCCGCCGCCTGCCCCCTCACCTGGCTGTCCCTGCCCGGGGACGGTGGCGGAGAGACGATGGCCCACCTCCGAGCCAGTCTCAGTGTAGACGTTCATCTGCCCACAGCTGCATCTGCGTCTCATCCAGACCCCCCATTCCGGCTGGCGTCTAATCAACCCCAGAACAAGGGGCCAAGGCAGTCTCACATCACCAAAGTGCCCAGAACGCTGCTATTTCTCAGATTTCCTACACGAGGATTGCTATATTATTTCTTTAACCCTGTATTCAAAGCGTTGGCAGACTTAAGAAAGAGAAAAAGAGAAGAACCTTTGCAAAATGGAAAAATCAATGGAATTTTTTTTCTTAAAAAGCGAGAACATATAAAAAGGAATCCATGGACAAGCAATTCACTTGTACCAAACCCTCGCACCAACGTCCTCTCCATACCCTACTCCCCACCCCAATAACAGAGAGAAGACAGGAATTGGCATCACATCCATTCGAAAGATACCGGATAAAAAATACACTTGGGGATAAATATCCTCAACATTAGAAATAAACTCTGAGGATTTGGGGATTTTTCCAGGCTAGAAAATTCACTTCTGAGGTTGTTTATTTTTCTTTCAGCTGCTTTTGCCATGTCAGTTCATCAAAAGCATTGAAATAAAAAAAAAAAAAAAAAAAAAAAAAACTTCCTAAAAGGTAGATAAGGACTGGTTTTTACTCTCAAAAAACTTATAGCAATTAATGCCAAGTTCCAGAAGCAGCAGGGGTCAGTGCTGTCTGCCCATGACGTGGACCCTTGACCTGGGATCGAGAGCGAGAGTGCCCTTCCCTCGTCCCTCTCTGCGGCTGTGCTCGAGAGGCTGCCTCGGGGCCTCCCCGGAGACCTGAGTCCTTGAACCTGCCAAGATGGGACACAGGTCCCAGAACCTCCAAGTCCAGGACACCAAGGCGCCACCTCCAGCCCGAAGCGCGCTGTCTCCACCTCCTCGCTACCCCTCCGCAGGATGCTCTAAGCAGGTATTCCCCCCGGTATAAACAGAATACTTAATTTTCTTTTTTAATCATCAGTTTTGAGCCAGAGGCGGGCACGTTTCCAAGCACTCAGTCACTGAAAGATGCTGAAGACAAGGCTTGAGGCGCTCAAGAGCTTTTCAAAATTAAGTCTTTTCATTTTCCTTCCGCCACGCCACTCATACCTGGGGTTTCCTGTCAGCGCTGATCCATGGGAGGCTGGGAGGTCGTGGGGGCAGATGAAACACTCCAAACGCTCATTCGTTCTCCCCAAAAAAGCGATGCACAGGGAAGGCAACAGGCCGTCGCAATCCTCCGAGTGACCGTGCGTAGAAAATCTGGGGATACATGCATTTTTTAAAAAAAAAATACACTTCATTTAATAAGTTGAAAATATCGAATCCTCAAGCTGAGGGGACACTGATCACGAGTCCAGAACAGACGTGGGCGCCGCCGTTGCTGCAGCCGCGGCCTCTCGCGCTTCCTCACGTCGGGCGGGACCTCCCAGCCCGGCACCCCCGGCCCCACTGCTGGCCCCTCATCTGCTACAGCACAGAAGTCCCTGTAATATTTTTTATCATTCACATCATCGGCGCAGTAACAACACCCTCAGGAGCAACCCGTCACCGGGTCTGTTTTTCACCGGCATCTTCTGCAATTCCGTGAGGCTTGAAATGAGCCTTGGCCGTGCTGGGGGGAACTTGCCACTTCCATCCCTGCCTGGCCCCTCTGTTGTCTGGACAGCTCTCGGCCAGGCCCTGCCCCACCTCTCCGTGGCGCGTGGGGCCGAAGCCTGCAGACTGCTCAGCCCTCCAGGTGTTCAAGCCGGGGCCTTCAAAGAATTCTTTCCTCCCGGAAAGTACCACACGACATGCGTCCTGGGAGGAAAACTAAAGAGAAACCAAGATTTCCAGCAGCTATTTCTAGTCATTTCCATAGACACTCTGCCAAGGACCTTTTGTTTTGTTTTGTTTTAAGCCTGTTTTGCTTAAGGTGACAGAAATGCTGGGACCCTCCTGGGACTGTGACGCTAAGTGATTCTGCTACGTGGCTGCAGACTCTATGAGTATCTTGTCAGCTAGTTTGTCTGGAGCGTTTACAGTGACTCGTAACTGATGTGCTCTGACATCCGTCACCGGAGAGGAGCCCGAGCCCACTCATCTCCCGCTCTATAATTTTCCTTAAGTGCTGCCTCTTAGGCCACGGGCAGGCGGCCTCCATGTCACCAGAGCAATTCTCTGCCCCGGCACGTCTCACGTCCTCCAGTTCCCTTTCTGGCACGAGTTTCAGCAGGGTTAAGTGCCCCCTCGCATCCTCGGATCGATCGAGGGCTCCGACCTCGGGGAGACGCTTTCACCACCCGCCTGCCCCAGCCTGGTCCTCCAGCCCTCCCAGCCCAGGCCCTGTTCAGGGAAGGCGCACGGTTGACCACCTCCAATGCAGCCCTCGGTAAAGAAGAGGCCTGGGCTGGAGCATTAGAGCAGAGAGAAGGGGGGACGCAAGAGGAAAGACACAAATGAAGGCCGTGAACACCACGCTCCTGCCATCTTACACACAGCAATTACTGAACGCAGAAAGAATAAGAAGATGCATAGATTCTCCTCCAGAAACACCACCAGAGGCCAGGTATCAACACGAAAGGAAACTACTAAATAGTAGGAGAAATGCAGGAAAACAAAGGTGTCCCGATGAACCAGACAAGCTCGGGGACGCCGGGCCCCTTCCCCTTCGCCACATCCCTCCTCCAGGAACTTCCTGAACTCGCTGTTAGAAAGGGGTGCACAGGCGGGAAAAGAGCGACAGAGCCCAGATATAGAGACGCACATAAAGCATGCAAGATCACAAGCACATAAAACAAATCAAAATAAATCTGTCATATTACTATATTTACTTCTTTGTCCCTCTTCTGCCGGGTGGCTGAGTAATAAATCTCCCGTGGAGGAAGGGAAGGTGGCGGGTGAGCCCAGGTAACATATCCTGAGATTTCGAACATAAATACAGAGTTGGAGGGGAGGCAAGGAGCCTGTAATGCGTCCGCTCCTTTGATAAGTTAATACGTCCTCATAGCATAAGGCACCAGCGAGCTTGACACTTGAATCATTTATGGCTTGGGGGAGAAATGGCAGCAGTCTTATTTTTTTTCTGGAAAAGAACCCACATGTCTTTATAAGCAGGGAGAGTGTCGTTGATAGTGCTCGGGAGCTTTTCCATTCCGGCCATAAACCATGTGTTTGGGAGCGGGGCCATTTCTGCCGGGGAGTTATTATGCGACAGAGTTCCAACTGGAGCGCGCCCACCATCCGGGCGCAGCGTGCCACCGTGGGCCTCGCGCCTGTGGCGCCCAGCAGATTTCAGCCCAGCACGGTCACCAGCAGGCTTGGTGGCACATGCACTGTCGAAATACCTTTCCCGCATCAGGTGGCTGCAGGTTCGGCAGGACAGGAACGTCACCAAGATACCTGAGAGGTGCACTCCTCTGGTCTGATGTTCATGGTGCGTGGTCGGAACAAAGTTGACTGATTTTCTTTAGGGTTTCTTACGTCAGTTTGATTCTCCTAGCAGCCATAAAAGACTGACATGCCCACAGGCTCTGGGTCTAAACTGTGTATCTGAGACATGGCCAACCTTACTGTGTTACCACACAGAGCATCTTGGCACCCACAGGCATTAGCCAGTCTGTCTCTGCCCTCACGGCCCCAGCACTATGGAGTGTGGCCTGAGCAGGTCCATGGGCCCAGAGGAGGAAGGAGACCCGCCCTCGGGAGCCACACTCTTCCTCGCACAGTGCCAGCTGGGACCCAATCGTTTTAGCAGTTAGGGCTGGTGATGGTGCGGGAGGCAGAGGGGCTCGGGAAAGCAATAGCTGGGGCTGGGGCCACCTCCCCTCAGCCCCGTTATCCCTTCCCAGTGTCAGGGTTGGGCCCCCACTTCTCAGCGCCCCAGCCATTTGCTACTTTAGATACAAAGGAACTGAAACTCACCTGGAATTGTTTTTTCTTCCCAAATTTTGTCCCCCAGACCCACCTGCTTCTATCAGAGCAGAGGAAGGCCACCGTTCTCCCCAGGGCCCCCACCCTTCAGCCTCCCACCCCCAATCCAGTCCACCTGCTCAGTCTCCCACCTGCCCCGAAGTCCCTGGTTCCTCCCTCCCCACCGTGCCCAGACACAATTGCCCCAGTCTATGAGTTTTCTTCCAGATGTCTTAGGACGCCATTTCCTCACATTCCTCCCTCCGACCCTTGGCTTCTCACCCGAGGTCCCCCAAAACCTCAGTTCTGGGTGCTTCCATCCGTCCCATACCCCTCTTCTTCCCGCAACGCCAGCGCTCTCCCTGCTGCACAGTCGGTGGGCACTGTCTTGTCCTCCCCGCGCCAAGCCTCTGGACGGCACTGGCCACCTTCTTGCTGAGCCTTCTCCTGTTCTTTCCCAGCCCTGGGCTGGCACTACCTGCTGGGGACCCACACCTTCTCATCTCCTAGGTTTCAGCTTACGTGTCATCTCCTCTGGGAATCTACCTCCGAGGCCCAACTGTAGCCTGGGACCCTTGCCCTTTGCTTCTGGGGTGCCAGGTGTCCACTCTCAACACAAGGCGTGGCCCACGGTGTTGGAAGTGCCCGCCGGCTGGTCCCAGGACCCCGTTACAATATGTGTTATGAGGGGAGGTGTCTGTCCTTCCCCTCACAGCCATACCACCACAGTGTCGGGCATGTAGGAGGTGCTCAGGAGATGTCCGTAAACTAACTTGAGTAGAAGGAAAGAAACGTCCCCCTCTTCGTTCAGAGAAAGGTCTCAGGCTCAACAGACTTTCCAGGACAATGAGCCATCTCGGGGAATATAGGCTTCCTGGCTGAAATCAGTGGCTTGATAGTTAATTGCCTTGTAAACTATTTCCTGAAGCCCGTAGCTTGGGAAATGTGCTTAACTACCCTGTCATCATTTCCCCATCAGCCCCGATGGAAAGGTGATAAAGGACTGTCGTAGTAAAATGCGTGGAAATCTAGAGGATGCGAAAGTTCATTTTGCTATTTTTCCACGAAGCAAATTATGTAATCTGGTCTTTGGCCCTCTCAAGTCTAAAATGATAATCCAGCCAGTCTTTTACAGGTTCTTCTTTGAATTATTTAAGAGAAAGCAGAGAACATGTTTTTTGTATGGGTCCTACCCCCCAAGGAGCCCTTTACCTAATTAATTCCCATAAAACTACTGTGAGTTAGGTGAAATGAGTTAAAAGTCAGACCTAATTCTCTAGAAACCAGGGGACCACATCTCAAAATCGCCCTCCCAAATGGAACCAGATCAGGGTCTCCACGGAGAGCTCCATCGCAGGATGGGCACGGAGGGGTAATGCCTCCCGCCCTCCAGCGGACCCTCCCAGGCAGAGGCGCCCCCTCCCAGTCACTGTACCGACGGGCCTTCACGTCTCTCCTCCCTGGGCTGCTGTCTCGGCATCCCACAGCCCAGCCCCATGCCTGGGCCCAGCGCAGACCCAGACATCACATGAGTGAGCACTGACAAGTGGTGGCCATCAACCAACAGGGCCAAAGACCACCCCACCCCACTTTAAAAGTTGCCCGTACGCTGTCAGCCATACCCCACGCCGCACATGCACATCCAGGCTATTTGCCCTTGGTCTTGAGAGGAAGGACCTTGGACCTTCCCAACAGCACAGCACCTCGGAGCCCTGTGATGGCCCTGCCCTGCGTAATCAGAAGCTGAGCAGATCACATTCACGGAGCAAACGTTCCCCCTGACCACCAGCCACGAGTGGACAACAGGAAACGTGCAGCATGCAACTCGCAACATGGAGACTTCAGCGCAGTGCACAGCCACAAAGATGTAACAAGGAAGCTATGGAGAACAAAACAAGCACAAGGCAGCAACACAAAAGGAAAAAAGATGGATTTGAAAGATGAAGAGAAACTCCCAAAAGTGCAGAGCTGCAATACAGTGTACGGTGGGTTCCATAAGGCAATGGAACAAGCTGAAATCCGAGGGGGAAGGGGTCTGGCCAGGTAATGGCAGCCCTCCTTGAGAAGGTGGAACTGCACTTCTTCCATGGGGACAAGGACGTGGGCGTGTGCTGCTAAGGCTCAGGGGCAGGTCCAGCAAGCCTCTGAGGACATCCCTAAACCGTCCCTGTGCTGCCCCAACCCCATCCCTGCCAGAGCCTGTTGGAAGCAGGGAGGTGACGGGGATGCCACGCCTAGGATAACCCTGAACCTTTTACAATTATTAGCAGTGGTAGTAAAAACACTTGTGACACCCATCATCACAATGGTATTGCAGCACCATTGTGGGATGATGCCACCAGCCAGCCAGGTCAACTGCACTCAAATCT